TTTATTCTCCTGCCTGGCAACCAGGCGGTGATTTGCAAACTTTTTTGTCCTGATTAATTAACCAATATAATTATTGGGAACTGTGATACAGTCTTTTGCTCAACAAAGCCTCGGAGAGAAAACAATAGTAAGTCTGTTAGTATGAATGCATTCCACACATCACAGATGTATGAAGATATTCTAAACAATGAGACGAAAATCTGCCTGTAAAAGGAGACAAAGAATGCCGTGCCGAGCCCGACATGACGTGCATACCGTAAGGCACACGCGGAGAGTTCCCTGGGACACAGATGCCTCGTTAGATTGCAGCTAGTTATCAGAGATTAATTCTCAGCCGTTTGGTACAATGATTTACCCATTCAGCAGCTTTTTAAACTCTATCGCTCACTATGGGAAGTTGAGTCCGTGAATCTAAATGGATTATTTAAACCTGACTGTGTTTTAATTGAGTGCGGGGATATTGATCGTTTTTTGTTCAATGATTAAAATTAAATAGAAGTGAAAATGTGGGGGTGTTACTTCTTGCAGGGTGATGTGAGCATCTTTGAAGCTCTCTGGGGCACTTTCATTCCTTCTCTGTGTATTTCACCGGATGAGCATTTTGCTAAGCTTGGCATGTTTAATATGGCCAAGTATTTTTCAAATAGCGATCCCAGTTGGAATGCTTAAAAGCACATTAAGGGAGCCGTCCTGTGGCCCTGGGCAGCTTCCATGGGCCATGGGATTCTTTGGATTCCCAGATCTCAAATCGGAAACAGCGCCACTGACCTCCTTCCGGCTAGTGAGGAAGGAACTGTGCCAGGACCTTCTCTGAGGTTGAAAAAGTAAGCTCGGAGAATGGGTAAAGGGCGTACTGAAGCCCCCTTCCTCTTCCACCGAAGTGCCATAGCTAGATGATCAAAATTGCCCATCTAGTTGATTGTAGGACAGGAGAAGCATGGAGCAGAAATTGAAAACCTCCAAGCTTGGACTTCCCTAAACAATTTTAAGATCCAGAATTGCTGTGAAATTGACATATCCGGATGGATGCAGAAAGATGTCTAGTCTGTCATTCAGCAAGAATCCTGTTCATTATATTTTGACTTATAACCCACACCATCCACAAAACTTTCTAAATGTATGATACATGTCAAGGTAAGGCTTAAAGATCACAGAAATTCGGAGAGCTTCAGCCGTGGGGCAGTATAGAAATGAAACAAATTTTAAAAAGAATATTGCAGTGGCCCATCTCATGGTGCAAGTCCAGATGGAAAAGCAAATAGGCTAAACTTGCTGATCTAGAAATTATCAATCTATAAAATCCGGAATAACCTTACAGACATTCCAGCAATTCTGCCCTAATCCTGCATGCTGTTTCTGCTCTATAGCAGAGCACAGAGTGGCAATGTGAGTTGGTTTGATGCCATTGATGCATCGCCATATAACCCAGATTGGTTGTACTTCAGGTATGCCCCTTTGGGCAATTAACTGGCCCAGATTTCCAGTTCTTTGGGTTATACTTTCTCATATGATCCCAAATACATGGAGTAGACCACCTTCCTAAATTATGTTCCCATTTGCTCAAGTAGATGTTCCTTATCATATTAAGGTTAAATATAATTTTACAAAGTTGACCTAGATTTCTGTTATGTATCCCATTTAATATTATTGCTTGAGCAATCCCTTAATGATCTCTTATTTGGCTGATAGATTGGATATTATGTGCCTAATCTGCAAATATTTTAAAAAACTGAGATTCTATTACATTCTGTTTCTCCAGAAATCTCATTGTAACTGTTAATATGGTCATTTAAAAATAATTTTTCAAAGCTCAATTAGATTGTATTTCCCCCAGAAATTCATATGAATTGCAATACTGTCCAAATGTATATAAGTTGCTAATGCAAGGGCTTGCCCTTGTCACTTCTGTATCTTTTTAATTGCAGAACCAGAGTCTGTTTTCAGTAGTTAATGCTAGATTATAAATTATATTGTTCTGCCCTTGTTCCTTTATCTGGTATAAACCATGATTTTAATGTAGGTAGAACTGAAGCAACAGAATACCATTGAATGCAGGTAAATGCTAAATACTATGAATTTGTACACTGATATAACACTGGAGCAATAATTCTGGCCCCTTTTCCTACCCAAATACATTTTGATTTCAGCTTCTGTCATTTGTTTTGTCATTTGCAATGGAATATTCAAAAATAAAAGTATTATTGGCAGTACATTCATTTTAACAGTTGATATTCTCCCAGCCCAAATCATCTTGTTCTTGATCATTTTTCAAGAGCAGTATTAATTTCTTGTAATTATATGTCATGATTACAAGGCCTCAGTCTTCCAGGTAATACATATACCAAGATATTTAACTGGAGAGTCTCTCCATGCAACTGAATTTATTATAGTTATATGGTCTATCTCTCCTTTCTAAATTAATTCCTTTCCATCCTGACTTACATCAGTTGATTTTATATCTTGATCCTTGACCAGAGTTTTTAGCAAATCCAAAGGTTCCTCAAACACCATTGCAGGAGTCTGTAATATCAATGCAGAATCATCTGCATATAAATCAATTTCACACTCTTCATTTCCAAATTTCACTCCTTTCCTTTTTGCCATTGTCCAGATAATTTCAGGAAGGGGTTCTCCTGATACTGCAAAAACGATGTGAGTTAGTGGATAATCCTGATGGATTGCTATGTCTAGAAAAAAAATTCTGATGTGTATCCATTTATGTATACACAGGCAGCAGGAATGATACTAATTTGATCCACTTAATAAAAATTTCTTCTAGGCAAGAATGTATGCAATACAAAATGAAAATAATTCCATTTATGCAATCAAATGCCTTTTCATTCTTCGAAAATAAAATTCCGCATATCTCTCTGGACCAGTCAGTCCTATAAATTGAACTGAGAAAGAGCCATAGAGCCTTTTTGGCTGATGGACACTATATCCATTTTAAAAATAAACTTTAAAAATAACTGAGCATTCTCTGAATTTTCACTGATACTCTCCCTTACTAAACCAATACTCCAGTTAATGCATGTATTTTAATCATTAATCTCTTCACAAGTATGTGTGTCCATACTTTGAAATCTTGCTTATTAAATAAACCATTGAGTCAATATGATTTGGGTTTCAGACTTTACCATATTTAGGAATATGGTAACTGTTATTTTTGCCTCTTGCCAGGATTTTGGAAAATATATATCTGTACCTCACTTCATGTAGGTCACCATCCATTATGTTTGCCCACAACCTTCTGAACTTGGAAGATTACCAACATCTGGTGGAGGGCAGAAGAAACACAAATTAAAAGGTTCTCTCTGGACTTCTCAGTGTTCCACTTTCAGAGTCCCATTCCATGGTTGGAACCCGGACTCCAAATTATCCTATGGCCAATGAGGTCATAAGATTGCAACCATCCTTACCCCGGGCTAGATTATTATTATTTAATTCTTTTACAGTATGACCCAGTTCTTCCATACTTACTGGCTGCTTCAGTTCATCAATCTCCACCGAGTTATGGAGAGTAAATTAACTTCATGCAAAAACTCCACTGCCCCTAGATCGGGAATGCTAAAAGACGAACAAGGAATATACAATCTGAAAATAAAGAGAAAGTAGAGAAAATATACAGCAAAGATGAAAGAATTAAGACTTCTTCAAAGTGGAATTCTATGAAGAAGAGTTTGCAGAGTAAAACTGCTGGGAAAGCTCATGCAAAGAGTAAAGCCTGCAGTAAACAGCATTCCAATACAACTGTTCCAAGTGGATGAAATGAATCAATCCAAATCCAAGCAAAAACATGTCATCAAATATGGAAAACACAACAGTGGCTCACAGACTAGAAATGTTCAATATGTATTCCAGTCCCCAATAAAGGAGATGCAAAGGAGTTCAGCAACTGTAGGGCCATTGCATTAATCTCCCATGCTAGCAAAAGGAGGCTCAGAGTGTTGTGACAAAGAATACTACCAGCAAGAAATGCCGGACGTCCGAGCTGGATCCAAAAAGGAAGAGCACTAGAGCTTATGTTGCAAATATATATTCTTTGGTGCACGAAAGAACTTCAGAGAAGTTGCTTTCTAGACTACAACAAAGCCTTTGGCTGTGTGGAAACCAGGGATGGTCCCGAAAGAAATGGATGCCCATCTCCACGCTTGATTGTCCTGGTGCATAACCTGTGGAAGAAGCTACTGTGAGGACAGAAAATGGAGAAACTGGATCGTTTCCCGTCAGCAAAGGTGTCAGACAAGGATGCATTTTCTCTCCCTTTCTGTTCAATCCATACACAGAACATACAAGAAATAGAATCAGAAGAAGGACTGAAAATTGGCGGAAGAAACATCATTAATTTCAGATATGCAGAAAGCAGCAATGACTTGAAACAACTCCTGATGAAAAAGAAAACAAAAGCAAAACTGTAGCTGAATATTTTTTTAAAGTTAAATAAATATTAAGAAAACAAAGATCATGTGAGCACAGGGAGCAACCCACCCTATACCCACTTATTTGTAAGTCCCATTTAATGAAATGGGACTTACTTCCGAGTAGACTTTCATAGGCTTGATCTGTAACATATGTTGATTGCCTATCAACTGATAATCAACATAACTTGATTATCAGTTGACACCATCTGACAAATGTTGATGTCATCCTTTTCTTGCTCAATAAATGGATTTTTGTTGCTTTTGGAGGCTTCCTTATTGTTTTAAGGGCATTACCATCAGAGAAATTAAAGCTTAAATGCCTTTTGGCTGTAGGACTATTGTGCTTTATGCTTCTATTTGTATAAATTGAGTAAGCCTCTGAATCCATACGCATCTGCTTGGCTGTTAATAATGTACTCATTTTGCTAACACACTTCATACGTTTGCTGCTGAAAACCCAACGCAGCACCAACATATCCCATAATAAGAGCACCTCATATTACCCTAGGCCTTTCTGTTGAGACATGTGCAGATTTAATAATTCCATAACGATGTATTGATGTGCTTGCTTCTCGTCAGGTGCCATTCTTTGGTCCTTTGTTTGATGGCGCAATTGTGACTGCAAAGCTGCTGCCAAATCTCATACGGGCAACATGCATCAGTGCCAGCAGAGCTGTGAAGTCCCTCATCCCTCTCTATCAGAGCTTGTATCCTTTTCAGTAGTGCATTCATTCCTTTTCAGCTCAGGATCGCTGTGTGCATCTTTCCTTTGAGGTAAGTTTTCATCAAAAACATCTGGCGCCGCAGGACTCCTCGTACAGAAAATCACGGCAGTTTTAGCCAAATCTGCATTGTCATGTTTTATTTCAAACCGATCCATTGGGTGGCCAAAGGATGCTAAGGGCCCTGTCTAACTCTCGGATCGTCTCCCCCTGCCCAAGTTTCTTTGCCATGACAAGCAAAAATGGCGCCCTGCAGGGAAATGGGTCCACAGTGAGTCATCAGAACCAGGTCAACATGCATCTGGAAGTTTCCTCGTCAAACAGCAAGATCTCTTAGTCTCTACACCCTCAATATTCTCTAGGCCCTAGAAGCTCTCAAGACTATTTGGAGGTGTGGCGTAAACATTCTGTAATTTACAAAAATGTGATTACACAGTGTGCCTAACACTGTAGATCACCGATTAGTAGGAACCTCTGTCATGGCTGAAATTATGGGAATTATAATCTGCATTAGGGATTGTGAGCAGCAAACCAAGTGGACGGTTATTTGGACGGAGAGTGGTCTTGTGTTCATTGTCGGGTGCGGGGGAACAGAAGACTCCCAAATCCAAGCTCAGAAACTCAGCTCCAACCTCAGAGCCAGGGACCTACAATCTGATTTCCCACCAGCCCCTCACAGCTGGCACAGAAAGAAACAGACTGTTGCCTTTCCAGGATGGGAAACGCAACCTCGAAGAAGCGGGTAAAGAGGTCAGGCCGTGAGGGACCCCGTCTCCTCTGCACTTCCCTCCCACGCTGCCAAGGATGCTTGTAAGCCTCCGACTTTTGTTACTGTGGGGCGAACTTGCACGTGGCTTGGGAATGCAAACCCTTCCTTGGCTTATTGCGTTTTTCTTGTTGCTGGCACGCGCTTCCCCGAACTATCTAAAGACAGGCATTCTGGAAAGAAAGCGCATCATGCAAACGCTGAAAGACGCCACTTCAAGGATGAAGCGCATGTTTGGCGTAGCGGAGGTGCGGTTGCGTGTCAGCGCCGTGAAGGCACTTGATGCTCCGACTTGGCTTGAGGAGGAGCTTCCCCCTTGCTTTGTGGTTTGCATCCTGCAAATGGGTGAGGGCCCCCTGCAGAGCACATTTGTGCGTGGGGCACGTGTGTCAGGATCTCCCTACTGACGTTCGTAGTGGATGGCTATTTTGGAGTGGTATTCCGACACGGCCCGCTCAGCAGCACCCATTTTTCAGCGGGACTCACGTTTAAGAAACACCTCAGACATGGACAGGTGGCAGGGCCTTTCTCCAGGTGTTGGCCTCACCCGTTCCCCGCCTCCTCCTCACACCTGTGTCCCAGGCTTGGCCCAAATGAGCCCTTCCTTTTCCGTACTTCCTCTGCGGCAAATAAAGTCATTTTGGAACATTTTGAATTCTCACATTTTCAAGGAAGGGAAAGTGCTTACCTGTCAAAGGTCATTTCCATACCCGTCTTTTCCACCTAGATAACTGAGTAGGGTTGAGTATATCTGATCTAGCCATCTATGAATCATTTTAAGACATTGTACTGCTTATTAGGAGAGAAAATATTCCGTGGACTTGATTTTCTCCAGAATTTCCAATCACGCAATACATGGAAAAGTAGACATGCCTACAACGCCAAGTTCCTTCTTGACTGAGAGATTCCAAAAAATGAAAGATGTGATACAATGCAGTGGAATAATTCATGCTTAGCTACCTTTAAATTATGTCAGCAATGCCCAAGTATTATCTTTGGAAAATATGCATCGATTTCTGAAGGTTTTTTCACATTATTGCAGCAAGCATGCTTCCCCATGTAATCTGTTTTACGTATATGACATCTATTTCTTTTCCACCAAAATTTCAAAGGGGGCAGAGTATAATTTGAAGCCTTGAGATTTCCAGACAGTCCCTTGTAAGCAGAAACCGCTATGCGTGTTTGAGATAGAATGACTTAAAATTATTCCAGGCACCCACCCCACTCCCTGCAAAGTCCCGATGAACATTGCAGGAGATCGAGTGGGTGCAGTAGAGGAGGAGTGACCTTCATTATGGAGCCTCATTCCCCTGAAGGAGTAGATCAATAGTCAAACTGCCTGTCACTTCTGCTTCTCTTCCGTTCTCGCAGCAAGAACATTCTCCAGGCAGCAATCAATGCTTGTGTGATCTGTACCAGCCTGTAATGACCAGCCATTTAAAATGGCCTTAATGGAGAATTTTTCTTTGCTGCGGGTTTGCAAAAGAATGACTAGATTCTGTAGGATCTCTGAAGGCCTTTGCCTACACACGGAGGTGCACAGAGTATAAGTGACCAGCCCTTGTTTAGGGGCTGTTTCATGTCAGCTCTTGGAATCTCTTGTGGCCTGTGGATTTAAAGCTCGGATTTGTTTTCCACTTTCACGTTATTTTAATTGTGAATTTTTGTACCACTCACGATGCTGTCAACCCTCATGCAAGATTCAGTATTCCCTTCATGTTTACAGGTTCTCAGTATTGGAATTGATGAAGGAAAAATGTGGAGGAAAGCAAGGTAGTTCCGACTGTATTACTGAAATATTTTAATACATAGAATACTTTATGTATTAATACATAGAATACTTTTCTATTAATATACGTAAATGGTGTATTTCATAATAGTAACTTCAGCTGCATATGAAAAATATATCTTTGTTTCTTAAAACCTCAGAATAACCACTGGAAGTGAGATGACACAAATGTCTTGTTCCATAGTTATAGTCAGTATTGTTATTTATTTGTTATATTTATATTCCCCTTTTCCTGCAAGGAGTCCAAGTCCATGATTCTTCTGTCCATGTCAACTTCAGAACACTTGTGTGAGGTTGCGTCTGCCTGAAAACGGGCCAGTGTCTCTTCACAACAGTGTGAGAATGTGCACCCTAGTTGCCCCAGGCCAGAATGCAAACTGGTTGCCTGAACCAGTCACTCCGCATTCCAGGGGCCCCCTACAAATCCAAGTCTTGCATCAGTGCCATGACCAGGGCTTTTTTTTTGTCATAGAACGCACCAGAACGGCTTTCCGGCACCTTTTTTTGATGGATTTTTCCAAGTGATTGTGACTCACCCTGTTGGGCATAGCAGTGCCTGCGGGCTGCTTGTGTGTCGGCGCTGATTGTGAGGGCGCTGCTCGCTTGGGACGCCGCTCGGCTTGGGATCGGTCGTGTGGCCGCACGCTGAGTGCTTACTGCCGGCGGCGACCATTGTGTTTGTGTGTGTGTAGAGTGATTGGCTACGTGCAAAAGGTAAATAAGTCCTTTATTTCAAAAAAAGTTGGTGAATTGAAAATCTCTTTTAGTGTAAAAGTGTGACCCCAAGACATGAGTTCCGGCACTTTTTTTTTTTTTACAAAAAAAGCACTGTCCATGGCACATGCTGTGAAGGCTACTGGGGGCATGCCAAGACCCTCAGGTTGCTCTCCAGGGCCTCCTGGTGGCCAGCCAGATATCAAGAGAGACATCCAAAACAATTCCCACCAACTCCAGTCAAAGCTGGGCTCTTCGATTCCATTGTTGGGCTGCCCTGTCTTCAGGAAGCACAGAGATCTCGGGGCTTTTGACCTGCTGATCAAGGTGGCACGGTTCACCCACAAGAGTGCCCACCTCTTTCTGGCACAAGTATTCCATCTCCCGTGTTGCCTGAAGAGGCGTGTTTGGCTCATGAGCCACAGCCTATGCCTCTCTTGAACTGGGGAATATGGAGGAGCGTAATGTCCCCAAGCAGATGGCCAACGTGAGTGGGTTGGAGTCAGGAGCTAGTGCAGTATCTGCGTGGCTTCCCAAGTCATCCTTGAGATGATTGGGTTGAGCTGAACCTTTCAGAAGAATTGCTGGAAACGATGCATCATGCCTCTAGGCACTGCCGTCTATGATCCGAACTGTGCTCATCATCCACAAAACCATCTGTGCACGCCGGCAACATCTTTGCTCCTTCTGCCAGTCACCAAGTCACTCATACTCTGGTCTCAGAGCCTCACCTGTTCCCAAGGTTGCCATCACCTCTGGTTTTGCTGATCTCTGAACCTCACCTGTCCCTGAACCCACCTTCACCTTTGGACCTGCCATAACTTGCCGGTATCTGGTCCTTGCTTGTACCTTCCTCTTCCAACTGAGTGTCACCAAACTTCTATCCATCTCCACCACCCTGGTCCCAGTGCTCCACTCTAACTGCTTACATGGAAACAGAGTGAGTCAGAAGGGGCCTCCTGGGCCATCTAGTCTGACCCCCGGCTCCAGCTGGCTCCACTCTTGACATGCCCACCATGTGCATGTCCAGCCTGTCCTTGAACACCCACACCGATGGGGCTTCTTCCTGGAGCTGCCTTTATTTCCCCAAAGCTTTAATAGATCTAAATGTCTATAAAGAATGAATAAGAAATTTATTTGTTACTATGAGATTGATCATGGCTAAGAATTGGAAAATAAGATACGATTACCAATTGCGTGATTGGTACAGAGAAGTTTGGAATATAGCTATTCATGATAAAGACTTAGACGCAGTGGTGAGGTTCGCTCTTTCGGGCACAGAGAAGAGGATACTTGGCTTTGCTTTCTAGTTATTTTTGCTTACGGTATTTTTTCAGTAGGTTAGATCTTTCACTGCCAAGTTTTCCACTCTTTGCATACCTTGATTAATCTTGATGCTTCTTTTGGAGAGTTGAAGTCTTTCTTATTCTATATTTAGATAGTTTTGAATTATTCTAGATTTCTTAGGTCTCCCTTCCTTTCCTTTTATTTCCTTTCTTCCTTTCCTTGCCAGATGCGGCACAAAATTCACTATTTTATGTTTTACCATATTTCTCTTATGAATTATTTATTTTTTAAAATTTGAATCAACTGGATCCTACATTATAGAAATTCTACCTAAGATTACACGAGCCTTTCTCCTCAGCTTGGTATTGATAACCATTGATAACTAGTATTGATAATGGTTACTATTTCTTCTTCAGTTATTTAGGCCAA